TCGCTGAGAGTGAAGGCGACATTCCAGAAGGTGGGAAGAGATGTCAAGTTCCTTCACCCATGAAACGGTTGAGACTGTTGATCGAGAGAAAAGTAGGTCTGTGTTCTGGGCGGGGCAACCTCTGCCTTCGGGAGATGGTGAGGGTTCATGGGTTTGGAAATCCAGATGCCACCCTAGTCAGTCGTCCCCAGGTTCTGCCAGCACTCCCTGCTTGCCCGGCCGGAGGCCCCGGTTCAGCTGGGGGGACTCATTCCCAGCGAACTTCTTGTTCTCTCTGGATTGCGTAGTTGTTTGTGTAAACTCATAGAACATAACCTTTACAGGAAAGCACATGAAACCCCACAGCCCACAGAATTAGCACACAGCGGACAGCCCCCCGGCCCCCCTAGACTGCCCCTCTCCTGGGTCAGGACCTCGTGTCCTGGTTATCACTCAGCCCAGGCGTGAGCCTTCCCAGACATGGCACCACTTTGATTTACTTTTGCCTTATTTTTGAATTCATATACGTGGAATTATACATTAGGTATTTTACGTTAGACTTTTCTACTTGGTTGTGAAATTACGCTATTTTCCGTGTAGCTGTGGTTGGTCCATTTGCAGGGTGTTCTGTTACAAATAGACCAGAATTTGAACATTCTGATGTTGATGGGCCTTCAGGATTTTTCTCACTGGGTCTGTTACAAGTAAGTTGTCCGCCCTTATCCATGGAGGACGTATTCCAAGACCCCAATGGACACCTGAAACTGTGGATGGTACCAAACGCTGTGTCACTGTGTTTTTTCCTACACATACACACCTGTGATAAAGTGTAACTTATAAATTAGATACAGGTGGAGATAAACATAATAATTAATTATAAAATGGAATAATTATGCGGGGCGCCTGGGTGGCTCAGTCGGTTGAGCATCCGACTTCGGCTCAGGTCACGATCTCGCGGTCCGTGAGTTTGAGCCCTGCCTCGGGCTCTGTGCGGACGGCTCAGAGCCTGGAGCCCGATTCCGATTCTGTGTCTCCCTCTCTCTCTGCCCCTCCCCTGCTCATGCTTTGTCTCTCTCTGTCTCAAAAATAAATAAACGTTTAAAAAAATAGAATAATTATACCACCACACCATAATAACAGTATGTGAACGTGGTCTCTGTCTCTAAACGTCTTACTGTCCTGCCTTCACCTTATTCTGTGAGGACAGTGACGATGAGATGCCCACGTGGGGAGACCACGTGACGTGAGCGACACGGGCAGGTGGCGCAGCGTGTGGTCAGCGGAGGACCATCTGCTTGCCGACGTGGACACCAAGGGGAGTGCCGCCGTGCTGCTGCGAATGCTCTTGACCTCACCTCTGGCGGCTGTTCCCCGGCTGCCCCGTGGCGGTGGTGTGGTGTGGACGGTGCCCGTTTCTCCCCGCAGTGTCATGTGACAACATGCGTGAATGCTAACACCAGGGAAGCTCACCTGAGCCTTGGTGCCCAGTGTTGTCCCTGGGGCTCGGCCACGCAGGCTTGGTTGACCACTCACGGGGCTCGGCCACCGGCTCCCCAGAGGCCGAGTGGATCCACAGGGACCCAGCCTCAGTCACGCCGTCAGCACAGAGCGTCTGCTGTGGCCTAGAGGCTCCCGGTGGACACGCTCGGCTCAGGGAGGGCACTAGGGAGGTCATGACCCAGGACCCGAGGGCAAAGACCGAGCCTCTCTTTGGGTCGGGGAATCCCTCGGTGTGCGGGCCACTGCCGTGCTTCAGAAGCTCTGGGAACTGCACGTCGCACGAAGCCAACCCCAGATCCCCGCCCTGATCTGCAAGGTGCCGTGTGGTCTGGCCTGCCTGTGTTTCAGACACGCCGACACCCGGCTGTTCCCTGTGCCCAAAACCTCCGTCTCCCGGATCCGCACAACTGAGTCCTTCTTGCCGCTGGGCTGTACTTAACAGATGTCATCTCAGGGCGCCCGTCCTGTCTTCCCAAACCCGGGGGGCCCTTGGTCAGTGTCTGTGTGACCTTGGCACCTGCTCGTCAGAGCCACCATCGTGCCCGTCGCGCTCTAGCTCACACATCTGCTCGTTTGTTAGCGGTCGCTCTGCACACAGCTGCCACGAGGTGCTGTTCCCGACTGTCTCTCTGTGCCCGGCACCCGGAGCGGGACTCAGCAGCCCGCTGCTGAGTGCGTGAGCGAGCCAGCGAATGGGACAGACGGGTGAGTAAATAAACGGTACAGATGCCGGTGTAAACAAACCCAGAGCCCTGCACAGCAGGACTCCCAGAGGCTGTGCTGCGCGGCCGTGAACTGGGGATCTCGAGGGCGTGCTACCAACTCAGTTCCCGGAAGCACTTTCTGGCGAGCATTGGTGTCTGAAGTTGGCGTTTTAGGGAATCAAATCAGTTTTCACACGGAACTAACACTGAAAAAGGGAGTAAGTCTAGCGTGTGGTGCACATTCTTAAGACTTTTTTCCTTTTCTGCTCCGTTCTTTAGGACCCCCGTGTGCTGACTTCTTTAGGACCAGTTGACCTGTTCTTCGGTATAAATGCGAAACACCGCCTTAATATCCCCTCCTTCATCTGCTTACGGTATTAAATCCTTTGCGCCAAAGCAGGACTCACTCTCGGTGATGGCAGGCGGGTCTGGGAGGGAAGCCTTTGATAATCTCTCGGTTACGTCCCCGAAGTGTCCATTTGAGCGCCGTCTATGGAGGGTTTGATCGTTGACCCCATTCTGCACGACAGAATCAATACTGATGGACCTGTGTTCGCAGTCCTTGGCAGTGGTGTTTTTATAGCGGCTTTTAAAAATCCTTGCTGCCTGCTGGATGCATTTGTGCTATAGAAAACCTGTGCTTTTTCCATTTGAAGCCAGCACTGATGAAGATTACATTATTTTCAGACACTAAAGATCCTGGCTTATCTGTTTCCACAGAAATACTGTCCGTAGCCGTTTATGGGTACCGTTGGCTGGTTGGGGCACACACACTTCTTCAGCGGGGACGCTGGGCGCCAGACGCCGTGGGTAAAAATTCAGGATGGCTCTGTGTGCCATTCGCTCCTGTCGAGGTGTGGTTTAGGGTTTATTACAGCTTGTCTGTTTCACTTCTGTCCTTTGTCCCAGCACAGCCCTGCTTACAGGAGCTCAGACTGCAACCTCCAGCCCTCCGGTCGGTGGGCGCCCCTGTCCCCCAGCAGTCAGTCCTCCACCGTGCCCCATGGTGACCCCTCTCTGAGCAGAGGCTGGGAGGCTGTGGTTCCCTGTGACCTGTGTGTCACATGCCCTGTCTGTGCCCCGGCCCCTGCCCGTGGACACGGGCCTGTAGGCGGGAGTTCAGAGCCCTCTGTGTTACGGACCACCTTGCCCAGAAACCGTGAGGCTCCTGTCCCTGGTCGGCCAGTGTCCACGTGCCCTCGGTGCCCGCGGACTTTACTCCCTGCAGCTGGCTGCCTGCTGAGCACAAATTCCAAGTCAGTCGTGGAAACGGCTGTTCCGTCACGTAGATTCCTGCCGCGGGGTCGATTTACGGCGAGGTTTTATAGGCGGGTGCCTTGATGAATGTGTTTGGATCTGCTGTGAATGATTCCTGCATCGTGATACTGAAGACTGATGTACGTTTTCCATTAAGAAGGCAGCAGCGGTCTGACTGCGTGATGCCGTTCAGGGTTCTTCCGGCACTGATTCCGGGGGACTCGGCTGTTCTGGTGGGAGACTGTTGGTTAAACGTGAGCAGCTGAAACCCCTTGCCACCATCCAAAGCTCAAAGCCAAGAGGTCAGATTGGAGGCAGGACAGCGTTTCCAGCCAGATGGCCTCTGCTGAGATCCCCAGGCCCAGGGAAGGCCTGGTGGGCGGGACCCCGGGGGCTTCAGGGTCCTGTTTCCCAGGGCGTTTCTTCTCTGCCAGACGTGTGGGGAGTCTAGAAGAGCAGAGTAGACGTGGGAGGAAGCCGGTGGCACAGTCCTTGCTCTCGAGAGGAGGGCAGAGCCGGCTGGTGAGCCTTGACTTTGGCGGCCGTCCCTCGGAACCCCGGGCCCTCGAACCCCCGTCTCTGGGAGCCCCCGGCCCTCGGAGCCTCTGGCCCTTCTCGGCACTGACCTTCTGCGGTCAGATTCCCGGTGCTCCCTGTGCACCCAGCCCCACACCAAAGCTCTGGGCCGCCTTCCGCCGCCTCAGGCCTCAGAGCTGACAGTTCGGAGCTTCGCGGGCCTGGAAGGTCCGGGTTTCTGTTGACGCTGTTCCAGCCGTGTGGGGGTCCAATAAGAACCGTCATAACAAATTCCAAAGCTTGGAGCGCAAACCCCCGTAAGGCAGGGCCTCCTGACTCTTGACGGTGGGATAAACCTCTCGCTCGGGCGCGTGTGAGTCGGAGGCACGGCCCGGCTGGCAGCTGTGCGCTGAGCTGAGAGGAGACGGCGCTGGAGGCCCAGGGTTAGACGTCACTCGCTTTATTTTATCTCTTGATCATCTGCTGTGTGCACTCCTTGTTCCTCGGGCCCTCGTTCGGGCAGCCCGTCCCCTCCCGACCTCCGCACCGCTCCAGCTGCCCCCTTGGGAGGCAGTGCTGGCGGCCGCACGTGCGGGGAAGGTCGGTGGGAAGTCCTAGCAGGTGCAGTCCTGCCTCGGCCCCTCTTTTCCACCAGGCGTATCTTCTGTGCCCCACAGGCCGAGGCTGCGGGCCGTGGGGGGACCACCACGTGGGCGGCGGCGTGAACCCCCAACTCTTGTGTTTCTTCACTCATTTCCACAATCACCGAGAGCTCACTGTGTGGTATCGAGTGTCACAGGCAGGAGATGAAGTTGCTTTCGTGGCCGGATCCCCCTTCCTATGTCCCTCCCCGTGTCCCTCCCGTGTCACTTCCTGTGTCCTCTCCAGTGTCCCTCCTGTGTCTCTGAGAAGCAGGCTGTGCTGCCCGCGGGCACACCTGAGCCCCGAGTGGAGCCTGAGGCCGGGTCTGGGAAGAGGAGTGAAGCTGGGAGTCACGAGCGGTGTGAGTCAGGTTGATAACGTGTCCTGTTCACACAATTGCAGATTGCCGCGTCCCTCAGGTGGAGGATGCTGAGATCCGTAACAAGACCTACAGACACGGAGATAAGCTGATCATCACCTGTCATGAAGGGTTCAAGATCCGTTACCCCGACCTTCACAACATGGTTTCGCTGTGTCGCGATGATGGGACTTGGGACAATCTGCCCCTCTGTCAAGGTGGGTGCAGAGCACGTGTCCCTAACAGGTCGCGGGGACCGCGCTCGGCCCGCACCCCCTGCACTGGGATCGGAGTCCCCGCACCCTCCCTGCAAAAGCATTCGCGGAAATACCTCATTGTTCAGGAGATAGGAGTCTGGCGGCCGGGCGTGAGCTCAGTGATGAATTATTGTATATTCAATGAAAACAGTATTTACAGGGGCGCCTGGGTGGCGCAGTCGGTTAAGCGTCCGACTTCAGCCAGGTCACGATCTCGCGGTCCGTGAGTTTGAGCCCCGCGTCAGGCTCTGGGCTGATGGCTTGGAGCCTGT